AGCATCTGTGCGAGCCTGCACAGCTGCCAGCACAGGGATTCCACAGTGGTGGTACCAGGAGAACATGGCAGAGCCCCTCATGGCTGTGTCCCCACAGGCCCTGGAGCCAGCACCTTGCTGCCAGGATCGATCCCACCTGCCCCGGCTGGGTATTCCCTGCCCTGGCTGCCTATCCCCTACCCTTTGCTTCTGCTGGCAGCCGCTTCCCTGAGGCCGCCGAGCAGCAACCCGACGGGGCTGAAATGACCTGGCATGTTTTACTAGGTTAGTCTTACTCTGGATCACATCCACATCACCTCGCAAAATGTTAGTCCTGGTGCATGGGAGGTGGGTGCAGATGTGAGCAAGAGCAGCTGGGGAAGAGAGCGAGGCTGCTCCTTTCAGCAGCAGTGCTGGCTTAAAGGGCTTGGGGAACTATAATATTCTAGTCCTCTCTTTCCCAGAGTATTTACTGGGATGTCAGCTTCTCAAGAGGGCAGTAGCAGCTGCTTTTATGGCCATGAGACTCCACAGTAGTCCTTAGAAATCTTTCCTATGTTCTTAAATGTAAGGCCCCAGGGGGCCAATGGAATCACCTGCTTGGACTTCCTTTCCACAGGCATCTCAGATCCCTCTGCCTGCAGCCAGTCCTTTCCAAGATGTTCTGACTCACTGCAGCTATCTGCTGAAATAGGTTTAACTGTATCTGACAACGTGTTTAGTGAATGAGTTGTTCTGACGCAGGGCTGGGTGTTGAACAATGCTGGGAGCTGTAGATCCCTGGCAGGGATATGCTACATTTAATTTCATTCTTCTGCCTGCGGCTAATTCTAGGGAGGAAGGTTAAAGCCAGCTCTGCTTCTTTCTATTTGCTTACCTGTCCTCTGTGTATTAGACTTAAAGCAATATTAAATACTATTCTTAACAGCAAAGTTTTTGTGAGAATGCGATGGGGGAGAACGATTACACTTTTCTGAAGCCTCCTTTTTGCCCTTAATGAGTTAGAGTCATTAAAAGTCATTAAAAGCTCAAGAACCCCTACAGTCATACAGAGAAAAGACTTCTGCCAGTAGCAGAGGAGTCTCATGGTGTTGTGCGGTAGTCTGTCCACCGTAATGGACGCTTTCTAGTCTGCCAGTTCCTGATACTTCCTGGGTTTGTGTTAGTCTTACCTAATGATGCACAGGAGGGTTTTGACACGTTTCAGTTGGAGAAAATTGCTGTCTTACCTGAGATTCCTCTGTTTTTCACTGTTATCTCTTTCTCCATGTAGCACTAAGCCCTTTTCGGGTCAGTCAGCTGAACACAGCTACCTCATATGCACAGAACAGCACATCAGACTGCCTCTGAAGGGGACGTGGAGATGGAAGAGTTGGAGGTGGGGGTGAATTTCAATTTCAACATGAAGGGGATTTCCTCAGTCTGAACACTGACCATTTACTCCCCTTTATCTACCCAGTCCCTGCTGTCCTCCAGTTCCTACTGTTCAGCTCTGCTCAGGGGGCAGCTCCACGACTCGTG